GAGTCAGTCGAGCAGCCCTGGTGCTGCCACCCAGAAGTTTCCAGTGACATGGCAGGATGTGGGAGGTTTCTGCTGAATGTCGCTGCAATGACGTTCTCTGCTGGACCTTCTCGCACACATTTCTCAGCTTTATAGGTGTGTGACGTGGCTGTGGTCACATTGGCACCTGCAAGTTTCACAGGCTTCGTGTGAGCAGGTCACTGGGCTGTGTTTCCAGGTGCTTTTTACTCAGCCCCAGTATTTTCATGTTTCCTCACAGGTAACCCTGATGCTTCTGGATCAGAACAACCGGGAGCACATCATCGATGCCTTCCGACCCGACGTGACGTCGTCCTCCTTCCAGCGACCCATCACAGAAATGAACATTGCCAGTGGCTGCCCCCTGTTCTGCCCCGTCTCTGTGATGGAAGCCAAGAACTCCTATGTGCGTGATGACGCCATCTTTATTAAAGCCATCGTTGATCTCACAGGCCTCTAACCCTCCCCACCTCCGGGAGCAGTGAAGGCAGAGCCAGCCCCGAGAGGGGCATCCTCCTCTTGTGCTGCGCGTCAGGCAGGTCTTGGAGTGAGGAGGGGGTAAAAAGCGGAAGGGTAAGAGCCCTTCCCAGAAAGGGACCTTCGCTCTGAGTGGAAACAAGGTGTCTGGTGGAACCCTCTTCCCTGGTGTCAGAGAGACATTCCCTGAGAAGAGGTTTGGGTTGACGTTCACAATCTGCGGGGTACAAGAGGAACTGCAGGGACTTGGGTGTCTGAACTGCTGCTGTGTGGGCTCCCAGTGGAAACCAGTGCAGCTCTTGCTCTACCAGTTTAGTGCACGGCCTCAGCGCTCTGTAGTAAAACAAGGATTTGGCCTGTCCAAGCACCACCTCGCGTGGATGTTCGGCTCAGCCATCCAGGACTTTCTTCAGAGATCTTGGTGTTCCTGGAAGTTTTGTGTGCTGCAGGTGCCTTGCCCTGCCTGGTCTGTGCCTTGATGGAGAGGAAGGGTGCATGGCAGACTTGGATGAGAGAGGTGCCAACTTTCTGCAGCTATTGGGATGCCATCAGTGCCTGCAGAGCCAGTGCTGAGCCGTGCTGTGTGGCCAGCAGGGAGCAGTGCCCGGCATCTGGCCCTCACTCTGGGTTTGATGGATGGTTTGTGCTCTGAGCTGGGAGCATGGGGCAGGGCAGGCAGTGCCTGCTGCGCTGCGGGAGGAGCCTGGGGCAGCACCAGGGGTGCTCATGGTGTGAGAGAAGTGAATCTGGCCTGGGGACAACCCGTCCTGTCCTGTGAGAGGGGTGATACAAGGCTTGGTGCTGGACATTAGTCCCCTGAACCTGAGTGCCCCAGCTGGGTGTTGAGCCAGACCCTGTCCTTCTCTGCTTGTGCCCAAGAGGGAGGATGGTGGCAGTGCTGGAAGCTGGCTGCACTCATGTGGATGGTCCTGAGTTCCCATCCCCATGGCAGGGTAGCTGTGGCAGGGCAGGTGCTCCAGGGCCCATTCCAGCTGCCAAGCATGTGGGGCTGTGGCTCTGCTGCCACTGTCCATCTGCACGAGCACCCTCAGCACCATGGCTGCAGCCAGTCTCTGCATCTGCCTGTGTGGTGGGTGGCACAGGCCAGCTCCTGCCCTCGCCAAGGGTCTGCCTTGCCCACTAGCAACAGCTTTTCCCCATCCTTCCCTTCAGGAACTGATGCCTGCTGGTTCCTGGTTTTTGCACACTGGAGCACTCTCAGCTCACCCCTAAGTGAGCCTGCAGCCACCTGGGTAGGACCTGGTGATCCTACCACCTGCTGCAGAAGTCTGCACATGAAGCTTGTCCCCTCTCTGTCCCTGGGCTCCTGGCATCACTGCCTTTGGGGCAGCAAGTCTTCAGCACCCATGAGAAGGTCTCTGTGTTGGTGGAGAAACTGCTACAGTAACATCCCTGCATTGTGGCTGGCTGGTCCCTGGGAGTGGTTTTGTCGTGGCCATGAGTAACTTTAGGTTGGGAGGGAGCCAGGCTGGGCTGTCAAGGCTTCACTTCCTTCCTTGTGTTTTTGCACACTGGAGCACTCTCAGCTCACCCCTAAGTGAGCCTGCAGCCACCTGGGTAGGACCTGGTGATCCTACCACCTGCTGCAGAAGTCTGCACATGAAGCTTGTCCCCTCTCTGTCCCTGGGCTCCTGGCATCACTGCCTTTGGGGCAGCAAGTCTTCAGCACCCATGAGAAGGTCTCTGTGTTGGTGGAGAAACTGCTACAGTAACATCCCTGCATTGTGGCTGGCTGGTCCCTGGGAGTGGTTTTGTCGTGGCCATGAGTAACTTTAGGTTGGGAGGGAGCCAGGCTGGGCTGTCAAGGCTTCACTTCCTTCCTTGTGCCATATCAGTGTCCAAATGTGTCCCAGGGGAGTTTTTGTTGGTCACAGGAGGCAGCTGCTGCCCCCACCTTGCAGTAATGGTCCAGGGCCTTGTCCAGCCCCTGTGCTGTTCCTCCGGCCAGGAGGGTGGGCAGTGAGGCTGGGGAGTGGTCACCGTGCTCTTGCTCACAGCCACCATGGGTCGCCCTTGGTGGAAGTGGTGGCTGCTGTTGGGGGGGGCCTAGGGGACATGAGGCTGCAGTGGAGGAAGGCCTGAGCCTCTCTGCCAGCAGCTCCCTGCCCACTGCCCAGAGGGCCCACTGTGCTCTGCTCCCATCCCTGCTCCACCACGGCTGCCCTGGCAGGGCTTGGGACACTGAGCTGGGACCCAGAGAGCTCTAGCTCCCTGCACGGTGACACTGCTCCTGGATTGTTTAGGGGTGTCCCTGCTGCTGCCAGAGGGATGCCTGCTGTCCTTCTCCAGGCTGGGAGGAAGCTGAGCTGGAACCTGACCCAAGCTGAACTTTCTACACCCCAAGGTGCTGAGCTGGCTGTCCTACCTGTGGACAACCACCAAGCCCCCTCTGAAGTCTCCCTGCAGATTTTATCATGACTGGTGTGTACAGAAGCTGGAGCAGACCCTGCTATTCAAGCAGGAGCAAGGGGAGGCAGGCTGGGCTGGCATGGAGCCGGGGGTGAGCTGGGGGGGCTGGGCACCTTGGCAAGACTGTGGCAAGCCAAGGGCAGTTGTACAGGCAGGGGTGTGTGCCCCACGCTGCCTGCACCCTGCCAGGCCACTGCCCCCAAGGCCCCTTGGCTCCCGCTGGAAGTGCAGGACCCTTCTTTATGCAAAGTCCCTTCCAGCCTGTACCAAAGGATGGATCGAGCCATGGGTTGTGCTTCTTACCCTGTTGCCTTAGGAAGCAACAGAAGCCCAACGAAGTCCCAGCCCTGCAGCAGCAGCTCCCCATGACCAGGCCCAAGGGAGGCTCCAGCCCTGCAGGGGCTGGGAAAGGCCAGGAAAGGGGGGAGAAAAATCCACCCTGCTCATTTAAAGGCTGAGAATTAGGTGTATTGTATGGAGGGAGGGGCTTGGTCTGTGTTCTGTGAGGGTCTTTGCTCCGGGGTGCTGGACACCAACTGCCTGCAGTGGGGCAGGGTCTTTCTGGCCAAGACGTGCCGGGGGAGGGGCTGGCTCAGCTGGGGAGGGGGCCTGGGCTGCGTTCAGGGGTCCTGGTCCTCCTGGGAGAGGCCGTGCTGTGGGCAGAGCATAGGCTGGGGACAAGGGGCTGTGCTGCTGCTGCTGCAGAGGGGCACTGGTGGCCGTGGTTATGACATGGCAAGCAGGTCCCTGTGACAACCACGTGGCTGAGGAAGGCAGATCTGGTGCTGAAAAAGCTGCCTGGTCCTTTTTCCCATGTTTTTACCAGCTCCAGATCGTGCAGCATTGCCTGTATCATGTCCCTGGCAGCTGCCAGCCCCAGGGGGGTGGGGTGCAACACCAGCTTGGCTGGCACATGGACACTTGGCACAAGCTACCACTAGATTTTTTTTGTGTGTTTTGGAGGTTATTTTTTTCCCCTCTTTTCCCCTTCAGCCACAGCTATTGGAGAACACCTATCTCAGCCTGCCACTGTGAAATGTGTCTTTTTTTCCTCAAGAATGTAGTATGGTCAAAGCCTTTAATAAAAGCCATTGGAAGAGCATCAGTGTTGTGCAATCCATGGGCTGCTGGGACTCCAGCCCCACACTGGGAGGAAGAAGAACCAGGGTAGGATCACCTCGGGGTTTATTTCTGTGCTGGGGGGGTCTGCACTGTGGCTGCTTGAGGGGCCCCTCCTTGCCACTGGAACTTCACAGGGTCCACAGGGAACAGGCAACAGGCTGGAATGGCTTTACCTGCAGCACCTGAGGGGAGCTGGAGAGCAACTGGAACAGCAAATCCAACATGTTACAACTCTAGGTCCCGGTGCTGAATAATAAAGCAGCTGCTGAAGCTCCTCAAGGCCAGGCTGGGAGCCAAGGACCTGTGCTGCTGCCCCACCCCTTCTGGAAGGACCATCCTGCCCCTGCGGAGCTGCAGCACCAGCTGGGGACTAAACCCATGCTGGGGAGCACCAGCACAGCTGCCTCCACATGCACAGCTGTAAAACAGCCAAAAACGAAGGGTGCCCAGGAGGGGGCCTGTCCCCTCCCTTGGGGAAGCAGCTGCTGCAAAAAGCTGTACAGGGACACAGGAGTTGCAGCTCAGGAGGCTACTGCTGCACAGGAATTCCTACAGCCGCACAGGGTACCCACTTAACTGGTCAGTGTGAGTTCTTAAAACTAGAAACTAAGGAGGGACACAGAAGCTAGGATGCTGCAGCCTTGGCAGAGCTGTCCCAAGGTTGCCATGAGCTGCTGCTCCACTTCCCTAGGGGTGCCCCATCCTCCTCCCCGAGGGCAAAGAGGAATTGGGCAATTCTCTGCCTCACTTCTCTTGTTGCTCAGCACAGGCTTGTGCAGTGCCCTTGCAGTGGGACGCTCCTGGCCTCAGTTCTGCTTCACCAGAAGGAGCACTCAAAAACAAACTCACATTGCAGAGATGCTTTAGCAGAATATTTATTCAATGCCATAGTGAAGAGCAGAACTCGGTACAAACATAAACCCTCACTGCCTTGTGCACTACAACCCCAAGCCAAGGGAGAAGAGATTTCACACTCCTGGGGTGGAGGGAGAAAGGTAGAGGCTGTTCCTCTGCTGTGTGCCTGGACAGAGCTGGATGTGGATCCTGTGCACACACACACACACACACACACAAAGGACTCCTTTGTTTCTGGAAGGCCCATGATGACAAAAACCTGAGTATGGGGGTTTTGGATAAAGCCATGGGCACCAGCCTAGGCACAGCAGAACCAGGGTACAAACCCTCCTGCCATGGGCCACAGGAGCTGTTAAAGCCATCAGTGCATATCAAGACAGTATCTGCTGCCTCTGTTGGGTTTATTTGCAACCCAAGGCTGTGACTAGCACAGAACAACTGTCCCTGCTGCTCTTGAGGGAGTTCCAAACATCATCTCCAGCCCCTGTCTAGGCACCAGCTCCTCCCAGATGAAGCCCAGATCCCAGCAGCAACAGCAGCTCCTGGGCTCACCACTGGCCCTGGCTGTCCCAGCCAAGTCAAGATCAGGAGCTTAATTTTAGTTTTACATTTGGGTACCTGATGGAGGGAGAAGAGCTTCAGGGACAGAGTAAACACCACTGAGTCCATAATCACTTCAAGTGAGCTCCACCCTCAGAGGGGGACCCAGGAGGAGCAGAGCACCCAATCCCTGACACGTCATCCCAGGTGGAAGGAAGCTTATTCACTGTCACTTCAGGCAGAGCAGGGCAGCATGCCCTGTGACCTAGGGGTGCCTGCACCTCCCCAGGGAGAACACACCAAGAGAACCTAAAGTACCATGGCTGGAGTAGCATGGGAGGGAGGAGATCCCCAACCCCAGCAGCCATCCACATGGCTGCCCCTTGGGAAGGGACAACAGATCCCCTTGAATAAATACAGCTCCTGGAAGTGCTACAGTAGCAGAGGAGGACAGAGGCAAAGCCAGCACCGTGTCACCACCAACCCTCTCCGCTCTCGCAGTTGGTGACACCAACATGTAGGTACACAAGGCATCAACAGGACACTGGCTGCATCCCTGCGGGCTGCCTGGAATGCCAGTCAGGACCCTAACCCCACCTCCCTTGTCTCTGCCCCCCAGTCCCTGCTGCCCTCCGGGGCGGAGATGTGGTGTGGGAGGAGTGGGAGGAGGCACTCAGCACACCTAGCAGCCAGATGAGTTGCCCGTGGAGGTTTGGGACAAACAAACATCAATAAAAGTACTACTACATTAAAAGAGCCCTGCAGCAAGGCAGCACAGCACTGTACTTGCCTCCTGCCCAGTGCTCTGCAGCCAGCAGCTCTCAGCAAGGCCAGCCATGTCCCAGGCTCACACAGTACAAAGATGGAGACAGGCTCAGTCTGTTCCCAAGAGACCAGAGCTCACCCAGAGCGAGCTGTGACCAAGTAGCAGCGTTCGTGAGAAGCTGTGACGAGCTCCCACCCTGCAGTAACCAGCTTGGGCTGCTGCCCACCAGGGCCCAGAATGGACCCTCGGCTCTTACATTCTGACTTGGAAGCAAACGCTCCAAGGAGGAAGCAGTTCCTGCTGCCAGGGTCCCTTCCTGACTCAGCAGATGGGATTTGTGTGCCCAGAGCTCGTCTCTGTTGCGCAGGGCTCAAAACTCTGCAAGCTCCGGAGGAGGTGGATGCAGTGAGAAGCTGCAGGAGCAGGTGTACCTGGGTTCAGCTTTTCTGGTTCATGAGCCAGGAGAAGAGCAGTTTCCTGGGCTTGGGCTTCCTGGCCCGCTGGACGCGCACGGCGCGGGGGGAACGCCACACCTTGATGGTGGTGTCATCACTGGCTGTCAGGAGCAGCTCCTGCTCCACTGGGCTGAACGCCACCGAGTTCACCACGTTGTCGTGCTGCAGCTTGGCCAGGCAGATATTGTAGTGCCGGTCCCAGATGTAGCCATGGCGATCCTCTGCCCCACTGCAGTGCACAAGACACCAGTAAGGATGACACCCTGGCAGCCCTCAAACCTTCTGCTCCCAACCTCTCTCCTTCCATGCAGGTGGAGGCAGAGGATGCCCTAACCTGGCCAGAGGCCCAGCCTCCACCCACAGCCCCCTCACCAGGTAGGCTGGGGACCCAGGGGCCATGGGAAGAGACCCTTCAGCTCGCTCCACAGCCCCTGCTGCCTGCAGCCCCCAAGATGGGCAATTCCCACCTGCCACCAAACATGCTCCAGCTTTGCCCTTTCCTCACAGGTCTCCTAACAGGACCAGGACAGACAGCCTCCATCAGCACTCTCTCTCTTTACACATCTCCCATTTCCTGCGCTCCTCAAAACCCACAGGACCAGCCCTGCCTACTCAAGCCACCCCACAGCACCAGCCCCAAGGTGCCAGGGTCAGGATCCTGCCCAAACCCACCCACCTCGCTACGAAGTCCCTGCTGACATCCAGGAAGATGAAGAAGCACTCCTCGTTGGGCGTGTAGGCCCGGTGTGCACGCAGGGCCCTTTTCACCTCCTTCATTGTCTTCAGGTCGAAGACATGCAGATCGATCTCCTCGGCAATGGGGGGAGGCTGCATCGGGTCAGAGATGATGCAGTCCCGGGGCCAGGCACGGCTGTTCACGTACAGGTACCTTGGGGGGAGCAGAGGGGTTACTCCACACTTCGCCACACGCAACGAAGCTCAGGGAGCTGTAAACGCGTGGGGCAGGATGGCTGGGACCAAGTGGTTTCTCTGCTCACTAAAATTCAGGCTGAAACACAGGAACATGATGCTGAACTACTTTTTGCTCCATTCAGAAGGACAGGGTCACCACAAAAGGGGTGGTGGGTCCTTGCGGCTACGTCAAGCCTCTTTAATCCGGTTAAACCCAACTTCAAGGATGGCAGCGTGCTGGTGTGCCTCAGGAGCAAGACTTGTTGCTGTGAGCAGCTCCTTCCCTCTCAGAAGGCTCCTACTCTGAGTAGGCTCAGCAGCACAGGGCGGGAAAACGTTCCTGCCCAGCTCAAGGGAGATGCTCAGGTCCTACACACACCATACGCGGACATAAATGGGACAGGAAAGAGCACAGTGGCCTGTGCAGGTACCCTGCATCACCCTCCGCAGTAATTTCTGTTCCTGTTGCCCCCCAGAGTTCCCCAGCAGCTGTTCCCCAGCAGTTGTCACCCACCCCCGCAATGTCCGAGGCCAGCACTGTCATTCCCCGTTCTCACCTGTGGTCAGGGGAGAGGCCCATGCCAATGATGTGCCCATGGATGTCGATGACATGATCCAGGGAGTCAAAGAACTCATCTGAGCGCCTCTCCTCCCCAAGCACTGGCCCAGCAGTTGTCATCTGATGGGGCAGGATCCTTTTTATCCCTTGGGGACAGAAAGCAGAATCAGGTTGCTCCGCAGGGTGCAGCCAGCATGACTGTTGGAAGTCCCCAGGCTGCAAGACAGGGCTTCCCTTAGTGCTTCTATGAAAGGGGAACTGGCTATGTTGGCTGAGGAACAGGACAGGGCTGCAGTCCCTGCAAAGCTCCTTCAAGCTCTTTCAAGTGGTACTTCTGGCCCATCCAGGGAGATGCCCAGTGCCCAGCTGCCATCCCAGCTGGTACAGCCCTCCTCGCTCCCAGCCCCAGACACTCCTGGCCCACTTTGAAGCACAAGGAAGCTGCACTGGCTTGGGAGACAGTCTGGCTGGAGGAAGGTTTTCTCCTCAATGAATCCTTGGACTGGGCCCATTTCCTGCAACATCCAGCCTGGAAAAAACCCAGCAGGGTCTTCCCCTACCACTGCCAAGTGTAGATGGGGGGGGTTCACCCTCAGAAACCTCCTAGAACAAGGGTTTAAACTCAAACTGCCTAAAGTCCTTTACAGCTTTTGAACTTCCTGACTAAGGGAGACACATGCTACTCTAGCCCTCTCCCCTTCCAGCTCTAGGCAGAGGTCCCAAACCCAAACCATCCACAGCAGCTTCCTGGAAGGCTCCTATGGGCCTCAACAGCTCTTGGGCATCCACAGGCTTAATCCTCCCAGGTTAATCCTCCAAAAGGAGCTGACAGATGGCCCATCCCATCACCTCTCTAGGAACTGGTGCCAGACACCCCCGATTTCAGCCCTCCGAAGGCAGGGGTGACACCACACTGCACCTCGAGCCCGAGTGCCTTCCCAACATCACCATGTTTGAGCCTGCGCTGCTCAGGACCTTCCCTCTCCCCTCAGCAGGCATGGCTCACCACCATCTCCTGCCTCCTCTCTGCAGTACCAAGCTTCCAGCCCCACAAGCAGTTTCACCCAAGCCTCCAGCACTGAAGAGCCCCCAGGAAGCCCCTACTGGAGCACTGCTGTGCCACAGACCAGGTGCGGGAATGCCAGGAGTGCTGCTCCCACCAGCAGCTCCAGCCTGGCACCACAGCCAGCACCTCCAAGGGCTGGTTCCTCAGAGGCAGGCAGCAGACACACAGGGGCTGGTTCCACACCCCAACCCATGGGGAAACATCACATTCTGCAGTGACTCATGGCTGGGAGAGGAGCCAAGCCAGGGTTCGTCCCTCCCTGCATCCAGTCTGTGCCACAGGCACTGGCTGCCAGCCCGGGAGTCATCAGGGTTCAAAAGCACCAAAAGCCCCAGTGTTGGGGGAGTCCCAAGGCAGGCACTGCCCCCGTGTCATGCTCAGCTGTCACCACTGCAGGTCCAAGCCTGAGGCTGTTCTGCCTGCACAACCCATGGAGCTGCCCAGGTGGGCAAAGCCAAGGTTCACCTGCCTGTCTGCAGCCCCAGCCACAGACAAGAGCACAGAGCAGAGCTACACTCAGCCCAGGTCATGTTCCTAACTTAGGTGGGCAAAGTGACTCTTCTCCAAGTTGCCTACAGCTTCGCCGACTGCCTTTTTCCCACCTTACTGGGCTGTACTGCTGCAGGACCAACAGGAAGGCCAGGAGAGCCTGTAGCAGGAATATGAGGCTGTAATTGTGCAAGCAGCAAAAGGAACCAACACTGTCTGGCTTTTCAGAAGACTCTTCTTGCCTGCAGCAGCTCACCTTCCATCCCCATGCTTCTTCTCATCTGTCTGGTCCTTTCCATGAACCTTTGCTAGCTTGAAGGCTTTTGGAGCAGCAGTCAGACTACCTGCTTCTACTCAGCACTGATTTCCTGCACATTCAGACTCTGCTAGTCCCAGTGCCACAATAAAACAGCCCTAGATAGGCCAGGGAAGTCCCAACCCAGAAAAAGCCCAGCAGCAAGGCCGGTGCCTGCCTTGTGCCCCAACTACAGTCCCTGGTACGCACCAAGCAAAAAGGCAGCAAGCTGCCTGGCACCAGCCTGCCATCAAGCACCCTCTGAGGTTGCTCTTCCCCCACTGTGAAGCCTCTTCAGTCCCAACTCAGGAGTGTCCCAGTGACTGCTAAGGCCCAGCGATGTGGGGGGAGCACACACTGGGCAGGGAGGAGGCAGGCAGAGCTGTGTCCCAGAGCTGAGGGGCACTGTGTTAGCAACATGCACGTGAACTCCAAGCTGCTCACACTGTTCTTGCCCTGATGCACTCTCCATCCCAAGAGAACAGGACTGAGGCCCTTCCACACACCCTAATCAGGGCAATCAGTGCCCTCCACATCCACCTGCTTGTGCACAATTGCCTGATGTCCTTCAGTCAGGCGTTTCTTCTTGATCTGCTTAGCCCTCACCACAACTTTGGCCACATGTCAAGTCTGGTAGCAACAAAACACCCCTCAGGCAAGAGCCTGCAGGGTGGAACCCCCTTCAGTGACTGAGCACCTCCAAAGCCTCCATCATCAAGAGTCCAGCAGCCTTGCAAAATGGTACCTCACCCTCCACAAACAAGGCTTTTCCAGACACAAATCCAGCCAGAGCTGCAGCCCAGGCTCCAGGGGGGAAAGCCCCAGGCTCAGAGCACAGCCTTACCTATCTGGTGTGGGGAGTAGGTGAGGCATCCTGTGGTGAAGATTAAGTATTTTGTCTTGCTGTTGCTGTCCGTGGAGAGCAGGTTCAGCTCGGGCGGTTTAGTTCTGTTGCGTACAAACAGCTCAGCCACCTTTGTCTCCAGCTCTGTCTCGGTCATGGCAGGCCTGACACGGCCCTCCATGATATCATCAAAGAGCTGCTGCAGCCCAGCCTCTGCTGTCACACCCCCTGCAGCCGGCGGCTCCTGTACTGCTGGCTCCACAGTCTGCTTGGGCTTGGCCTCCTCTTCCTCACTGTCACTGCCAAGATCAAAGACCGGGCAGGAGGTGGAAGCAGCCAGCTGCTCCTCATAGTCCAGGAGCAGGTCCGGGGAATCGTACCGGCTGCAATCAGCCACCATCACGGTCCGGATAGTGCTGGCATTCAGGTTCTGGATTTTGAACAGTCTCTTCACTACATTCACATTCTCTGACTCTATGCCCTGCAAGCAGAAGGGAGAAGAAAGCAGGAACCACCTCAGGTCAGTCCTACAGCTCAAACCAAGAGGAGCCAGCATAGAGGACACCAGCCACACACCGACCTCTCTTCACACCACTGCATGGAGCAGTGACCATGAGAACCAGCCCATGAAGCTGAGACAAAGAGCTCAGGCAGTGGAGCTGGGAACCACAGAGGCTGGGCAGCCCTGCTGCCACCCCCTGCCTAAGGTCATTTGCTGGCACTGCTCAAAACTTCACAAGAATTTCAGGAACAGGCCTCTGGGATAACACTGGGCACAGCACACAGTGCCGCCCTTCTGGCTCACCAGTGGCAGAGGTGGAGCACTGCTGGAGCTCGCCTGTAGCCGCCAGCAGGACTGGCCTGGTGCTCTGCTGCCAGATACACACTGCAGGTCTCTTCCTGCCCAAATTTTCTGGCAGCCTACACCCACACTCCAGCATCACAGTCAAAGGGGGCAAGGTCCTTCCTTGCCTTTGGAAATGAAACAGTTAACACTGTAGTGTCAGCACAGCACAGAGGTGTGGGGATGGAAAGGGTCTCTGCTACGAGAGGATTCCACTCAGGGCCAGCATTAATAATTCATGTTAAACATCACAAAACACCAGGACATGCAGCTGTGACATTGGGACAGAAGAGGAATGGGTCTGAGCAACACAAGAGCTAGAGAATGAACAAGCAGGAAGAGTCAGCACACACTGATCTCAAAGTCTCATCACAGTGGGCAGCACGTGGCCCAGGCACGTCAGCACAGACAGGCAGAGCTGAGCTCAGCCTCTCAGCTCCTCCAGCTCTGGGGAGCAATGCCTGGAGCTGCCAAGTGGGAAAACAGCCATTGCCTGGACACAAACCAGGATGCAGCTGTCCCAGGCCCAGCTCCACACTGCCCAGGACCTCAGCAGCCCCACTGCAGCTCAGCCACCCTCCTGTTGAGCAACCCGTGCACTGAGGCACTGCAGTCAAGTCCTAATCCCAATTAATGGGGCAAGAGTTAATGGAGTCCAAGGGTAGTGCTGGAATATTGCAATGGGTACCACAACATAAGGGTGGAGAAAACTCATCCAAGGGTTGCCTCAAGATCAAGATCCCGAGGACAAGTCAGAGGAGACAAACAGGGAGGACAGGGCTGCTCTTCCCTGCTCATGCCTCCTCCGTGGTGTTTCCTCCCCCAGCAGGAAGCTGGGCTGCCCGTGGAGCCAGAACAGGCTCCTCACCTGGAAAGCGTTGTTGAGCCACAGCACAGAACAGGAGGTGATGCGCCCAATCCGATGCAGGTTGCCAGAGATCAAGTTGGTTTCATTCAGCCAGCAGCCAAACACATCATAGGGCTTGTTCCTCACTCTGGAAAGCAGTGTGAAGTTCTCTGGAAGGGGAGAAGAAACACAAAGAGTAAGGTGATGGCTCCCAGCAAGGGCTCTGGAGAAACGGTGGCAGAAGGCATGGAAAGTGGACTTGGGTCTCTGCAGGAGGCCCGAATGCAGCACATCCACCGCAGGCCGAGTGGTGCCGCCCAAGCCAGCACCAGTTGCTGCTGTGGAGATAAAATTATTTCTCCCTTCTGCAGAGACGTGTGAGTAGAGAACACACAGGAGAAACCAAAATGAAAGGGCAGCCAGATGGAGCCAAGCCCAAGAGCAATTGGGTAGCACGGTCCTTCTGAGCATGGCCCACAGCAGAGACCCCAAGGACGAGGGCAAGTCAAGTGTGTACAGAACCTCCCCACCTGCCCCAGGGCCCTTCTGAGCGACAGGGCTGCACACCACAGCACTCCTGATGTTTGGCACAGAGAGACATGGCACAGAGATGGCAAGAGATGGGGAAAGTTGGAATAAGCCAGACTGACAGCACTGCAGCAGAAGAGGGTAGCAGACCTGTAACAAACCACTGTAGCAGACCTGGGTGAATGCACCTCACAGGGCCTCAGGGTGGGACCAGCACCACCTCAGACAGGAGCAGCAGGTTCAGGACACTGGTAGCATGGGTAACCACCTGCCTCCCCAGATTGCCACTTAGAACAGACATTAAGTGAGAATAAACACACGTCACACTGCCCTTAGGTGACAACATGGTGATGGAGGCAGAGTTAAAGCTACCCACAAGGTCTGCCCTACAGCACAGGGACTGGGAGCCCCTCGTGCAGAGGGTGGAAGGCAGGACAAGCAGAGCACAGGCCATGGCACACCCGAAGGGAAGGGAACCAGCACCTGCCTGTTCCTACCTCCCAGGCAGCCCCAGCAGAAGCCAGGGTGGTATTTACCCATGCTGATGACAGCAATCTCTCCTGATGAGGAGTTGTGAGGCCCCACAAAGACACCTGACACCAGAAGGAGGGAGTCATCAGAGTTGAACTGGGAGAACTGTGTGTAGCTCCAGTTGTACGGTCTCATGTTGGAGCTGTGCTGCAGGGAGATGTCCAACTCATTGCTCCAGATCTACAGACAGAGGGACAAACAGCCAGGAAGCTGTTGAGAAGCCTAAGAGTGGTTCTGCTTTATCTGTTCTACCAGCACTCACCAGGACAAGAAAAAAAATACATTATCAAAGATCCTATTATCTGACTGTCTGTCCCAATTTCCTCATCAATTCCCCGGACAGAAAACAGGCAACAGTTTTGGTGAGTGGCTAAATACAGGCCAGCTTCCCCATCAGCCAGAAGAGAAGGTGTTCAGACAGTGAGTGGTACTGTCACAGCTGGGTTTTTCAGCATACTCAAGAGAAATTTCTTCCAAGACAACCCACTCACACACTGCAGCTCCTGCAGAGGATCCTTATCTCCACAGTTGTTGTTAGACCCAACAGGACTAACAGCAGGCAGAGCCAGGCAGCCACCTTGGCTGCCTTCATGCAGGCTGGACCTGGGACCCACAGCCCTCAAGGCCACATTTGCCAGAGTCTTTAGTTTTAAGTCAAATCTTTAGATTTGAGAACAGCTCAGCATCTGCTGGAACAGGGCCAAGTCTCTTTTCCAGCCAGACTCTTTCAAGTGGTGCCCAGTGACAGGACGAGGGGCAGCAGGCATGAACGGGAACACAGGAAGTTCTATCTGAACATGAGGGAAAACTTTACTATGAGGGTGACAGCCCTGGAACAGGCTGCCCAGAGGGCTTTTGGAGAGGTTCAAAACCTGCCTGGATGCCATCCTGTGCAGCATGCTCTAGGTGAACCTGCTTTAGTAGTGGGTTGGATTAGATGATCTCCAGCGGTCCCTTCCAACCCCCACCATCACAGAAGCACAGGTCAGGGGTTGGAAGGGACCTCTGAAGATCAACAAGTCCAACCCCCCTGACAGAGAAGGACCAAAAACTAGGGCAGATCACTCAGAAAGGCATCCAGGCAGGTCTTGAAAATCTCCAGAGAAGGAGACTCCACAACCTCTCTGGGCAGCCTGGCCCAGGGCTCTGTCACCCTCACAGGAAAGTAGTTCTTCCTCATGTTCAGGTGGAACTTCCTGTGCTTGAGTTTGAATCCATTGCCCCTCCTATCACAGGGCACAAGTGACAAGAGGTTGTCCCTGCCTTCTTGATCCCCAGTCCTCATGTGTTTATAGACATTAATTAGATCCCCCCTCAGTCTTCTCCTCTCTAGACTGAAAAGTCCCAGGTGTCTCAGCCTCTCCTCATAAGGCAGGTGTTCCAGTCCCTTCATCATCCTCGTAGCTTCCTTTGCACCCTCTCAAGTAGATCCCTGTCCCAAGTCCAGGGACACTTGCTTATGCCCCTCTGCTCACAGCCTCCGTGAAGGCTGCTCTCACAGCTCAACCCCACCAAACCTGAGCTGGGAGGGCCCTGCAGGAAGGCAGCTGCTTTACCTTGACAGTGCAGTCTTTGGAGCATGATGCAAACAAACAGCCCGAGTGGGAGAAGCTGAGGTGCAGAACCTGGTCACTGTGCTCTTTCAGGGCCTGCACTTCCACACAAGGGATGGTGTCATAGAGCCTCTGGAACTCATCATACCAGGAGACAGCAGCTGTAGCACACAAAAAGGGATGTGGGACAGAAAAGTAAGTGCAAGGCAGTGACAGTCCTGAGCTGAACATGGCAGTTGAATTAAGTCTTGAATTAAGTTGCACACTGTGAGCAATGCCAGGAGCTCTGCTGGGACCAAGGTCCCTGTGGTCCTGGCCTAGAAGGGCTTCACATTTTTCTCAGTAGCTTCTCTGCTCACACACACAGAATCTTTTATTCCAGTAAACACAACTCTGGGCCACACCACCACTTTCTAAACCACTGCAAGAAACACCCAGGGCACGGCTGCAAGCAGCCAACAAAAGCCTCACTCTGCAGAACTGCAGACGTGCTGCAGCACAACACACACAAACCCATCATGTGATGAGTGGGGAGCTGCTCCTCAGGGTACCCAGCTCTGCTCAGATTATCTTTATCTTGTCTAACACAGAATTCAGAAAGTTCTAGAAAGGGTTTAAGACCAGGAAGAAAAAGTTTCTGTGAGATAAGAGACTAGGGAAAACAAGAGAGAAGAGGAGCTGGACACAGCATGCTGGGACAGAAGAGGAGCCTGGTGCACACTTCCAGAAGTCCCACTGATGGCCAATAAAAGACAAATAGAGGATTTTTAATGAAGTGTCCAGTGAGGCAGCTGACAAACCTCTTTGCAGCAGCAAATCCCAAGGATACAAAGAGGATTAGACATGGATATGGGCCAATTTCCCTAGTTACATGAACAGGACTGAAGGGTTTTGTGGAATTGGTTCCAGCCCAGGAGGCACTTCCCCACCAGAGGGATTAGCTCCCTGCCAGGACACCCCTACATTCCTTGCCATCAGGGCACTTCATCCCCCTCCAACACTCCCTGTTCCAGCTTGTCCATCTGGGAAGCAACCTGGATAAATCCCATCCAGCCAAGCAATCCCAACATCTCTTCTTACGAGCCCCACTGGACACCACCATTCCTTAAAGCTCAGGGCTACCCAGGAATTGCACCAGACTCCTGCTTCAGCCCCCCCAGGCTGCTGGCCACCTCCTGCCCCACGGAGCTGCCACACAGATCCAGAAGCTCAGCCCACAAGGTGCCCCAATCCTGCTCAGTCGCTGTGAGTGCTGAAAAACAGGGCTGGCAGGTTCCTCATCCCCAAAGGTTGGAAGTGACAGAGTCTGGTCAAAGAGCCTCATAAAATCTAGACAATGTCCTCAACCCCGTGGAGCTCCCAGGCACTGCACAAGTGAGGTCACACAGCCTGAGTAGTCCCATCCACGTCCCATCTCCCTTTCCTTTCACACCGGGGTTCCCACTGCAGGGACACAAGCTCCTGCTGCTGATCCTTGGTGGTTCTTTCCATCCTCCTGTGGCAGCTGCAACTCGAGGTCAAGAAGCCAATTTCCTCTACTGGGAGCCCTGTGCAATTCCTCAGGGTGGAGGACAGAGCAGAGCCCTCCTGGGCCTCTGCAACAAGCTGGGGATGGCTCTTTGGCCTCCAAGAGACCCACTGGGGGTCTGTGGCAGCAGGAGCTCCTGTCAGCAAGTCCCCAAGGCCTGTCCTACCTGGTGTCTAGGGTTACCCTTCCAGTCTACCCCAAGCTGCTTCAAGCACCTGACACTCAGCAGGGCACAGAGCTGTGGCACTACAACTGCTGCCACCAAGGCTGCTGGCAGCTCTGCCCAGGGAAGGCTCTGCCAGGCTTGGATAATGGCTCATTTTCCTACTGCAAGCCAAAGCCAAGATCAACCCTGACCTGCCCTCACAAAACGGCTCAGCTACAGCCTTAGCATCTGCCCACTGTACAAAGTGCCACACACCCACCCCACACCCCTGCCCTCACATCCTCCTGCCCCAGCTGGGCTGTGGCTGCTGCCCGTGACATACAGAGAGATCCAATTTCACAGAATCATCCTGGTTGGAAATGACCCTGAAGATCATCAAATCCAACCATAACCTAAACCCCCATACCATAATCTAATCTACCTGTTCAGCGCTTAAATCATGTCCCCAAGCACCACATCCCTATCTCTTTTAAACGCTTCCAGGGATGGTGACTCCACCACCTCCCTGGGCAGCTGTTCCACTATCCAACCACTCTTTCAGTACATAAATTCTTCCTAATACCCAGTCTAAACCTTCCCTGGTGCAACTTCAGGCCATTTCCTCTCATCCTGTCATTATTCACTTGAGAAAAGAGCCCAACTCCCACCTCCCTGCAACCTCCTTTCAGGTCACTGTAGAGAGCAATGAGGTCTCCCCTCAGCCTTCTGTTCTTCAAACTAAACAGTCCCAGTTCCCTCAGCCTCTCCTCACAGGACTTGTTCTCCAGACCTTTCACCAGCTGGGACCTTTCACCTCTAGACACACTCCAGCAACTTGAAATCCTTCTGGTAGTGAGGGGCCCAGAACTGCACACAGTGCTCGAGGTGTGGACAGCTAATGAGCATCTGACCAGCTAATGGGCACCTGCAGCTCTTCCTAGTTTGGATGGGAAAGGGCCACAGCCCGAAGCAGAGGCTTGCTGTGAGGTCCTGACCAGGAAAAGCCAGCAGTGATTACCAAGGCATCCCACTGGGTTGCAGTGACTCACTGCGTCTCCTCGGGATCTCCCTCAGCAGCTGCCAGAGAGCACCTGCCTGGAGAGAGCTCAGAAACCACCTGTCTGAAAGAACGAGGGAGTCAAAGCTTTTCTAACTATTTGATGTCCCTTTCTCAAGGCCTTGGAACGTTCCAGGGTCCTTCATGTGCCAAGACAAGCCTGAGAGCCCATGACCTGATACAGTTCAGTGGCTCCAGAAGGTAGCGGGCAGAAGGGGAAAGGATTCTTCCTCCTGGGACCACCGCAGGGAGGTTCACCCGAGGAGCAGCCTCTCTGTGAGCTGGAAGCCCTGGAACCAAGCAGCCCCCAGCCCTGCGAGGC